GAAGCAAGCCAGTAAACAGGGCTCTATTGTCCTGATGCAGTCCTCTTGAGCTCCCACCCTGAATTCCTTCAGTGATGGGTTATGGCCTGCGAATTGTTAGATCAAATAAACCCTTGCCTCCTCAACTTGCTTTGGGTTCTGGTGTTTGCTACAGCAACAAAGAAACCTAACTAAGCCAGCTACCACAGTCTACAGGAGGAGGAAGTCATAATCCTTCAAAAGAGCTAACTGGGAAAACTGAGTTTGCGACCAGTCTGGTCTACATAGCCAGTTCTAAGCCATCCAAGGCTTCATAGTGAGACCCTACCTCAGAAAACAATAAGCCCCAACAAGACAAACGACAAAAAAAAAAAAAAAAAAAAGGCATTCAGCTGTTCCTGCCTCTTCACAGATGTTGAAGGTGTTCCAAGCAGGAGTGTCAATAGCGTGTGTGTAAAGCTGTTGTTGGACTTAGGCTTGTGTTCAAGTCAATGAACACGGAATCACAAAGGACAACCACTGCCCACAACAACAAAACCAAAATAATCCACAGACAAGCTGGACACACTGCAAAAAGGATAAATATCAAGACAGCTTTCTATGAAGTCCACTAAAAAGCCAGCCAGATAATCTACAAGGCAAAAGAGACAAGACTCCCAGGTAACAAAGATGAGAAGGAGGCAAGAGGTGGCTGAATTCTCAGGCTGAAGGCCTGAGTAGTTAAGAGCATGCACTACTGCCCCTGCAGAAGAACAAAGGTCAGTTCCCAGCACCCATGGCAGGCAGCTTACAACTGCCTAGAGCTTCAGCTCCTGGGGATGCAGCTCTTTTGGCCTCTGCAGACACAGGCACTCATGACTGCATATAGACAAACAAGCATACAGAGCAACAAAAACAATAAAATAAAGAGGCCAACTAAGAGTAGAATCACATGTTTAAACTGCTCAAAGAGAAAGGCAAAGAAGAGCTGTCAACCAAGACTGATACATTCAACTAAACTGTCCTTTCAACATACAAAAACATCCAGAAAAAAAAAAAATTCAATAGCACCTGTTGCTGGCAGACAGGCCTTATTAAAAAGAACCAACCAACCAACTACTACCACACACATACAAAATCTTTAGACACAAAACCAAAAGAACACGCTCGCAGGTAACTTAAATCCATGGAGAGAAATAGCACCTGAAGAGACGACAGAGATGGCTCAAAGATTAAGAGTGGCTGCTGCACACTCATGAGGGTTTGTCATGTAAACACCTGCACCTCCAGGTCCGAGAAATCTGATACACTCTTCTGGCCTCTGCATGCACACAGACATATACTCACACAGACATACAAATGAAACAAAACCCAAGATAGCATCAGAAAAGGTGAATACACAGATTAACATAAAAGACTATAAAAATACTTCAATTACTCCTTCTATACTAACATCTTCCAAAGGGTTGCAAGTGGATAATGCATTAATTTCCAGAATACTGTGCTTAATCTCAGTATTCAGGAAGCTGAGGCAGGAGGCTCATGGTTTCATAATCAGCAAGACTGTCACATCCCCTGAAGCTAGACCATCAGGATCCTATCTCAAAAATCCAACAGAACCAGTAGTGATGATGCACACCTTTAATCCCAGCACTTGGGAGGCGGGGGCAGGAGGATCTCTGAGGCCAGCCAGAGCTATACAGAGAATCTCTGTCTCGAAAAAAACAACCAAACAAAAAACTGAAGAAAAAATAATGTGATGGAGTAAGATGCCTATTGTAATTGTGTGATTACAAAGAAGTTACTAAATAAATGCAGAGCCCAAACGAACATTTACAGAAAAGGTATATCAACAACAACAACAAATTATAATTAACAGAAAAAAGACAGTACGTGGAAAAGAAAAAGGAAAAACAAAGAAAAAGAAAAGAAAGAAGGAAGAGTAAAGTCATGCTGGTTATGCACAGCTAACGCACAGCTGTGGCTCGAGGACTGCCAGGAGACCAAGGCAGCCTAGAACACAGAGCAAAACCGCCTCACAGGCTCACCTCCACACACATTAATACACAAAGAGGAGAAGGGGAAATCAGAAAGAAATCCAATCAATAGCCAATGGCACAGTGTTTTGTAAATGCTACTCCAAAAGCACACAACCCAGGCATTATTTCTGGAGCCTACGGTCTGAGAGGCACGACTCCTGAAACTGTCCTTGGATCTCCACATGCACACAGCACACGCGTCTACCTCACCCACACACATCATATACACGATAATAAATTTTAAAAGAAGTTTTAAAGAATATTTTAGATTAGATAACAAAAAATGCTGGGAGTGTGTGTGAGTGTTGAGTGTATGTGTGTGTGTGTGTGTGTGTGTGTGTGTGCACACACTTCTGCTTTCAACAAAACTTGCCCGAGTGCCAAGAATATAGAACTATAAAATACTGGCTGGAACTAGAGCTCAGGGGTATAGAGTAGTTCCCTAGATTATGTGAGGCCCTATTTCAACCCCAGGATCAAAAACAGACACTGGAGGAGGCAGAGGCAGGTGGATCTCTGAGTTCAAGATCAGTCTGGGCTACAAAGCAAGTTCCCAGACAAGTGAGAACTACACAATAAAGACATGTTATCTCAAAAATACCAAAACAAAACAGAAAACAAACAAACCAAACCCATTTAAGTTTGTGAGACACACAACAGTGTTTATCTGGCATGTACAAAGCCTAGGTTTTGGAAATGGCGGAGAGTTAAAAAGTAACATTTATGAAACCAGGTATCATGGCATGCAACTATAATTACCAATGCTTGGGAGGCTGAAGCAGGAAAATTTATAGTTTGAGGCCATCCTGGCCTAACAGTTCAAGGCAAGCCTGGGTTATACATAGTGAGAGAAAAGTCTCAAAACCAAAGTTTACTCGATGTAGCCCAAGGGTGAATAGTGGTAAATATATAGGTTTAGGGGGTGGAGAGATGGCTTATCCATTAGGGGCACATGTTGTTCTTCCAAAGGATCTGAGTACAAACCCATGTCAGAAGCTCATAACTGTCTGCAACACAGCTTCAGGGAATCCAAGGCCCTTTTCTGGCCCCTGCTAAACGCCAGCAGACAAGAAACACACACACACACACACACACACACACACACACACACACAAATAAGTTTAAACCCAAAACCAAACCACATAGGTTTAAACACTATTTATAAACAAAGGCCTCATATCAGTAATTTAAGCTTAGATTACTCAACAAAGTGAGACAAATTACTGAAGAACCAAAATCAGGAATGCAGGAATCATCACCTCTGACCCTACAGAATGATAAAAGCAGTTTAAAAAACCAAAAACCATTAAAAACACAATGTTGGGGGCTGCTGGAAAGACAGCTAGTTGAGTAAGGGACCCGAGTCCAATCCCTAGAACCCACATAACGTCAGGTGCAGCCCTGCATATCTGTAAATCCCAGTGCCCCCATGGGAGATGGGAGGCAGACACAGAAGAACCCCTGGAAACTTGTAGACCAGCCCACCAGGAGTGCACAGGAGTAAACAAGATCTCCAGTCTCATGGTCCAGGTGAAGATGGACATCTCAGGCTGTCCTCTGACTCCTACACACGCACTGTTAGTTGTGTGCCTACATACAAGTAAAACACACACACACACACACACACACACACACACTATATATACACACACACACACACACACACACACACACACACACACACACACACACTCATATACACATACACAGAAGACTGAGAAACCAAGCATACTGGAAGAAGATATTTGTGAATTATACACTGGGTCAGAGATGTGTCTAGAATAAGGACTGAGAGCTCATTAGGATGGCAGACCAATTAAGACCAGGCAAGACTTGAACAGACTTCCATTGAGGAAGACGTATTGATGGCACACGTGTGCATATGAAGATGCTTAACATCACTACTTACCAGGGTAACGCAAATCAAAACCAAATGAGATGCCACCACACACCCACTAAAATGGCCATAAGCAAAAGAACAAACAATACCAAGTGTTGGTGAGGACATGAAGAAACTGGAACCCGTGAAATGGTACAGCCACTTTGAAGAACAGTTGGGCAGTCTCTTAGAAAGTAAACATAAACTTACCACGTGACCCAGCAATTCCACGCCTAGGCATCTACCCAAGAAAAATGAAAACATATGTCCACACAAAACATGTTTGCAAATGTTAACAACATTATTCATCATAGTAAAAATGGAAATACATGTGTCAACCAATGGGTAGATGGGTAAATAAAATGTGGTCTATTTATACACTGGAAAAAAAAA